GGATATCTCCTGTATCGTCCCAGTTGGGTAGCTGTACTCTCCGTCAATTGTTGTAGATGCTAGCGGTGCGGTTCACCCAGTTGATCTCGGGGTTGAATTTTTTCAGGAAGTCTCGCCCGAAGATCAAGTCAAGCCCTTTGATGTTGGTGATGGGGAGTGCAGGTCTCCAGCGCAGTGGTCCGATTTGTAGATGTAGCACTGCTTCGCCGTGTACTGGTAACTTGCTGCCGTCCACCATCGTTGCAGAGAATCCTGAAGGCTTGTACTCTTCCCGGAGTCGGTCGATCATTGCCTTGTCGCAGACGGTGTGTGACGCTCCGCTGTCCACGAGTGCTTGGAGGCGTCGTCCTTTGCAGATGACCTCGAGCACGAGGGGCAGTCGTTGCTCGGAGTACCCAAAGATAGTTTCATTGATTGGGTCATAGGGTACATCCCAATATTCCGTACACACCTTTGGTGTTGTCTACTCCTGAGCTGGCAGCTGGCCAGGCTGCTTGGAGAACGGCTCTTCTCCAGGGCCCGGAGTTTCTTTGACGACTGTGCGCGTCACTGATGCCGAAGAACTGGATGCATCCGTAGAAGGAGTTCGGGGTTTTTGCAGCTTCTTGTAGACCCCCAGCTTCCTCTTAGCTGCTTCAGCTCCACCGACGTCTTCCCTGGGGAGCGGGTAGTCGTTGTGGGCTGGTGTCGGGAGAGGACGTTGACTCCGTGGAAAGGTCGGCTTCTTTCCACACTCCTTAATTTGGTCCCCAAGTTGTCCGGTACCGGTATAATCTCCACAGCTGTCTGCTTCTTTTGGAGTCCCTCCCGAATTTTCTCCAAGGCTCTAGCCCCTCGAACATCATAAGTTTTCATTAAAGCATCTTTATAAGATAACTTTAACGAATTCTTATAATTTCTTGGGTCTTCAAGGAGTTTCCCCGTCTCGGCAGAGTCTTTTTTCGCGGAGTCTGATTTTTCCTCGGCGAATTTCCCTGGCGAAGACTGGTCGTGGGGTGGAGATTTTCCCCCATCATTTCCTCCTGCTCGCGTCGAATCAGCTTCGTCGAAGTTGATTTTCTCGGAATCCCGCGGCCGTTTCCGGATCTTTTTATTTTCGCCAGCTAGATCCGCAATCACTGGCGACTCCCGTTTTTTGTCTTCTGATTGGCCGAAAGATTTCCGCCACTGTTGCGTGCCCGATACTCTGCGCGTGCGGCCTTCATTTTGTTGCAGTCGAAGATTCGGTGGCCCGGCACCCCGCAAAAATCACACGTGTAGTTGGTGTTTTTCGGACGTGGCCGCCCCTCGAATCTGTCGACTTCCATCGGGTCGGCGAACGTGGGGTGAGCCGAGCGGTCGCCCTGTCGCGTACTGCCGACGTGCGTCCGTCGTGTTCCGGCATTGACCATGTCGAAGCGCTCCGCGGTCGAAACGACGTCACTGTAGCTCGCGTAGTTTGACGCTGCCACCTGTCGTTTGACTTCGGTCTTCAGCCCGGCGAGGTACGATTGTACTTTTTCCCCTTCGGTCAGGTCGGGAATTCGGTTATAAAATTCTTCCATCTGCTGCGTGTACTGCGCTACACTCCCGAACTGTCGATGACGATGAATTTTTTCGCGGGCAAGAAAACTCGAATTTATCGGCTCGAATCGCTTCAGCAGGTCGGTGCGCGGAACTGCTGCCACGTGGCTTCACCGTGGATGAAGGTGCTGTTGCCGCCAATCCACTCAAGTGCCGGCCCTCGCATCAGTGTCGCCGCGAGTCGTACGCGTTGACCGTCCCAGACTGGCGAGCTCCATCCGACGGCTGCGAAGTAGATCTCCATCCCGGCGATCCATCTGCGGGCGTCGGAGTTTCGATCGCTCGGATCGAACGGCTCAGGTGGGCGCGGTTTCGGAGCCTCGAGAAATTGCTGCGACTGCTGCGTCGTCGCCGTTGTTCTCGTGCTGCGCTCCGGCGAGTCGAGTTACTCGCTCGAACTGGTTTCGCCATGCTTCGCGATCCGCTCGCATTTCCTCCTGAAGGGCTGCGATGTGCGCGAAGAGCTGCTGGGTAACCTCGGCGTTGTCGAAGGTTGCCATCCTGTTCAAAACACGCACGGAGGGGGTAATTCGAAAATCGCGGAGCTGGTGCTTACCAGAATCGGTGTCGAATTGGTCGCCCCCGGCGGTTTTTCGAGGCAGGATCCCCGCTGCTGCTGCTTAGCTGAGCGCGGTCGAGTGAGAAAAGCTCTGATTACCAAGTGTCACAGGATCGAATGTGTCGAGGAAAGGTTGCACTATCGATCAGTACAAGGCGCTTTTATACTTCCAGAGTACATCAAGTAACCAGGTTTATCCTATCTAAAGGAATAGACCCTTCTAGAAAATAGAATCACCCTGCGTATAGCCACGCGAGGCTATTGGTTTTAAGAGATTACGACAGGATTACGCTAGATAGCGTATCTAGAACATTCCATGCTTGGTCGGTGATATAATTATAATAAGGGAAGAAACCAAAGGATAATGGAAAATGGGGAATATGAGGCAAAAGGAGATGAGATAAAAAGAGGAATGAAAAGAAGATGAAATATGGAAAAGGCCAAGTGGTGTAACGGAGTCGTACTCTCACAGGCTCAGCCCTACGGAGCTGACCGACATGAAAAAACAGATCGATTTTTCTCCTAGCCAAAGGACTCATCCGACCATCCACTTCGCCATACGGTGCCCCAGTACTCTTCACACCGAAACTGGACGGAAGCCTGCGCATGTGCATCGACTACCGAGCTCTTAACAAGCAGACCATCAATAATAAATATCCGATACCGCAAATCGATGATCTGCTTGACCAGCTTCGGGGAGCTACGGTATTTTCCAAACTGGATCTGCGGTCCGGATACTGGCAGATACGGATGGCGGACAACTCTATCCACAAAACTGCTTTCCGAACTCGGTACGGATCGTACGAGTATTTGGTAATGCCGTTCGGACTCACCAACGCACCGGCAACGTTTCAAGCCGAGATGAACCACATTCTACGACCACTTTTGGACGAGTGCGTAGTGGTGTACCTGGACGACATCCTCATCTACTCACGCGACATGAAGCAGCACATCGAACACTTGCGACGCGTCTTCGAAATTCTTCAACGAGAACAGTTCTACGTCAAACTGTCCAAGAGCGACTTCGCCCTTGAGAAGGTCCAGTTCCTAGGACACATGGTGAGCGCTCAAGGAGTTCACGTCGACCCCAAGAAAATCGAAGACGTACGTACGTGGAAGACACCCGAGAACGTGAAGGAGTTGCAGCAGTTCCTAGGCTTCGCGAATTATTACAATAGGTTCGTGCCACAGTATGCGAAACTCGCAGCACCACTCACGAATCTGCTGACGAAGAACACGCCCTACAAATGGGAATCGAAGCACCAGGAAGCCGTGGAGCAGCTGAAACAAGCACTCACAACCGCCCCAGTACTCATCTTGCCAGATCCCGAACGCGACTACGTCATCGAAGCTGACGCCAGCGACCAGGCAGTGGGAGCAGTCTTGATGCAAGACCAGGGGAATGGACTGCAACCAATCGCCTACCTCAGCAAGAAACTACATGGAGCAGAACTAAATTACCCGATACACGACAAAGAGGCCCTTGCCATCGTCATCGCCTTCAAAGCGTGGAGATGTTATCTCGAAGGACGACGAACAACCGTCTACACCGACCATTGCAGCCTGAAATACTTGAAGACACAGCCCAACCTTTCCAGGCGGCAGGTCCGGTGGATCGACTTCCTCGAGACACACTTCCACTACGACATCGTGTACAAGCCCGACCACAAAAACAAAGCAGACCCTCTTAGCCGGCCTGCGCACGTTGCCGTGATTCAGATTGAAGGGATGAATCCATTACTCAAGGGACTCTTCACACACGGGTACTCCATCGACCCCGAAATCCCCTTGGCTGAAAAAACGACATCTGCTACAGTGGGACAGTGACATCACGTACCGGAAAGGATCAACGAAAGTCTGGGTACCCAATTACCCTCCTTTGCGTCAATTACTACTCGAAGAATACCACGACGTCCTATATGCCGGACACTTCGGTAGCAACAAGACGCTCACTGGTATCGCCAAACACTACTACTGGCCCCACATGGCAGATTACCACCTACCACCAGTGGTCATGACGCAATTCTTGTCGTCATCGACAAGTTCTCCAAAATGGGACACTTCATCTCAACACACACGATGGCACGCACCGAGGAGACAGCACAACTCTTCGTTCGTCACATCATCTCCCAGCATGGCATTCCAACCACACTCATCTCCGACCGAGACCCCAAGTTCACCAGCAAGTTCTGGAAGGAACTTATGTCTCTTCTCGGAACCAAACTCGCCATGTCATCCGCTTACCATCCGCAGACAGACGGACAGACCGGAGCGCCTCAACCAAATTGTTGAGCAACTCCTCCGAGCGGCCTGCAAGGACAAGATCTCCAAATGGGACCTGCACCTGCCCGTTCTGGAGTTTGCCTACAACAACGCTACACATGCCGCTACTGGACAGACGCCATTCTTCCTCTGCTACGGACGCCACCCCACTCACACCATAGAAACCGACCACATCCGCAACAGTCCAACCCGGCACATGATTTCATCACCACCATGCATCAGCTTTGGGATCGGACCCACAAGCGCCTCCTCGACATTCAACAGCAACAAAAGCGCCATGCCGATCGCCATCGCAACGACCACACCATCACGGTGGGAGACCAGGTGCTTCTTGACACCCGCAACCTGGACATCAGCCACCTCCCATCTAAACCGCGACCTCGCTTCTGCGGGCCTTTTCTCGTCGAATTGCAGGTTACTCCTGTTACCTTCCGCTTGCATCTGCCAGCCACCTGGAAGATTCACAACTGTTAGAGTACGATCCCGTTACACCACTTGTCCCTTTTCTTATTTCCTTCCTCTTTCATTTCTCTTTTTATCTCATTCCATTCGGTTTCCTATTCTTCGTTTGGTTTATCCTGCTATCATAATTATATCACCGACCAGGCTTGGGATGTACTGGTGCGCTATCTGGCGTAATCCGGCCGTAATCCCTTAAAGCCAATAGCCTCGCGTGGCTATACGCAGGGTGATTCTATCTTCTAGAAGGGTCTATTCCCTTAGGATATGATAAACCTGGTTACCTGATGTACTTTGGAAGTATAAAAGCACCTTGTACTGATCGATAGTGCAACCTTTCCTCGACACATCCGATCCTGTGACACTTGGTAATCAGAGCTTTTCTCACTCGACCGCGCTCAGCTAAGCAGCAGCAGCGGGGGGATCCTGCCTCGAAAAACCGCCGGGGGCGACCGATTCGACACCGATTCTGGTAAGCACCAGCTCCGCGTTTTTTCGAATTTACCCCCTCCGCGTGTGTTTTTGAACAGGATGGCGAACTTCGACAACGCCGAAGTTACCCAGCAGCTCTTCGCGTACATCGCAGCCCTTCAGGAGGAGATGCGAGCGGGCCACGAAGCGTGGCGAAACGAGTTCGAGCGAGTAACTCGACTCGCCGGAGCGCACCACGACTCGACAACGGCGACAACGCAGCAGTCGCAGCAGTTTCTCGAGGCTCCGAAACCGCGCCCACCTGAGCCGTTCGATCCGAGCGATCGAAACTCCGACGTCCGCAGATGGATCGCCGGCATGGAGATCTACTTCGCAGCCGTCGGATGGAGCTCGCCAGCCTGGGACGGTCAACGCGTACGACTTGCGGCGACACTGATGCGAGGGCCGGCACTCGAGTGGATTGGCGGCAACAGTACCTTCATCCACGGTGAAGCCACGTGGCAGCAGTTCCGCGCCGACCTGCTGAAACGATTCGAGCCGATAAATTCCAGTTTCCTTGCCCGGGAAAAAATTCATCGACATCGACAGTTCGGGAGTGTAGCGCAGTACACGCAGCAGATGGAGGAATTTTATAACCGCATTCCCGACCTGACCGAAGGGGAAAAAGTACAGTCGTACCTCGCCGGGCTGAAACCCGAAGTCAAACGACAGGTGGCAGCGTCAAACTACACGAGCTACAGTGACGTCGTATCGGCCGCGGAGCGCTTCGACATGGTCAACGCCGGAACACGACGGACGCACGTCGGCAGTACGCGACAGGGCGACGGCTCGGCTCACCCCACGTTCGCCGACCCGATGGAAGTCGACAGATTCGAAGGGCGGCCACGTCCGAAAAACACCAACTACACGTGTGATTTTTGCGGGGTGCCGGGTCATCGAATCTTCGACTGCAACAAAATGAAAACCGCACGCGCAGAGTATCGGGCACGCAACAGTGGCGGAATTCCTTTGGCCAATCAGAAGACAAAAAACGGGAGTCGCCAGTGATTGCGGATCTAGCTGGCGAAAATAAAAAGATCCGGAAGCGGCCGCGGGATTCCGGGAAAATCGACTTCGACGAAGCTGATTCGACGCGAGAAGGAGGAAATGATGGGGAAAAATCTCCACCCCACGACCAGTCTTCGCCAGGGAAAATCGCCGAGGAAAAATACGACTCCGCGAAAAAAGACTCTGCCGAGACAGGGAAACTCTTTGAAGACCCAAGAAATTATAAGGATTCGTTAAAGTTATCTTATAAAGATGCTTTAATGAAAACTTATGATTTTCGAGGAGCTAGAGCCTTGGAGAAATTTCGGGAGGGACTCCAAAAGAAGCAGACAGCTGTGGAGATTATACCGGTACCGGAGAACTTGGGGACCAAATTAAGGAGTGTGGAGAGAAGCCGACTACGTAATCGAAGCTGACGCCAGCGACCAGGCAGTGGGAGCAGTCTTGATGCAAGACCAGGGGAATGGACTGCAACCAATCGCCTACCTCAGCAAGAAACTACATGGAGCAGAACTAAACTACCCTTAAAGCCAATAGCCTCGCGTGGCTATACGCAGGGTAAACCTGGTTACCTGATGTACTTTGGAAGTATAAAAGCACCTTGTACGGATCGATAGTGCAACCTTTCCTCGACACATTCGATCCTGTGACAATTTTGGTCAACCGGTCAACGATGACGAGGACCACATCGTTACCGCTTGGACCAGTTGGTAGGCCAGTGACGAAGTCCATCGTCACTTATTGTCAGGGTCGGCTGGGTGGCTCGAACGGCTGCAACAATCCAGCAGGTTGAAGTTGGGAAGACTTCATGCGTTGACACGTGGCGCAGGAGGTGAGGTATTGCTGCACGTCTGTCAGAAGGTCAAACCAGTAATAATTATGGCTCAGTAATTTTGCAATTTTGTCGATGCCGTAGTGACCCGAGAAATTCGAGTCATGTGCTTCATGGATTAGTAATTTCCGTACTGTACGGTAGGCGGGAACCCAAATCTGATTGGTACCGGATTTTAGATCATAGGCCCCTTGCTTGACCGTCAGTTGGGGATGACTGTTAGTGGTGAAGAATGAGTCACTACTGTATCCGTGGATGAATAGGCCAGATAGTAGCGGATTAGCTTGGGTAATTAGGACTGCGGCAGTGTGGACCGAGGGGCGGGTCAATGCGTCTGCGATGTTGCTAACCCCTCATTTGTCGGTGATTCTATAGTGGAAATTAAACTCGAGGTAGTCGAGCCAGCGAATCTATCGGGGATTCTGTGTCGGTTGGGCGCGGATAAACTGTAGCGACTTGTGGTGTGTTCGGACTATTACGTCAGCGCCCATCAGGTAGCAGCGCCAGACCTTGAAAGCACGAACGATGGCGAGTAACTCCTTGTCATCGACAGGATAATTTCACTCGTCCGGGTTCAGCTTTCGTGACTCGTAGGCGACGGGTTGGAGGCCTTTGCCGAAGTCTTGTAACAGTACTATGCCTACGGCCAAATCGCTAGTGTCGGTGATGAGCTCGAACGGACGGTGAGGATCTGCAATCCAAAGAACCGGAGGGGTTGTCAGGAAAATTTTGAGCTTTTCGAACGAAGCCTGCTGCTCTCCCCCCCACTCAAAAAACGTGCCCTCCTTCAGGAGATCCGTGAGAGGGGAAGTTACCTCTGCCATGTTCGGAATGAAACGGCGGGCGTAATCAACAAACCCCAGAAAACTCTGAAGTTCGCGTAGATTAGCCGTCGGCTTCCAGTCTTGGATGGTCGCAATTTTCTTTGGGTCGATTTTAACACCATCGATGGAAATCATGTGACCCAAAAACTCCAGTTCGTGTTTGAGAAACTTGCACTTAGAGCCCTTAGTGATGAGTCGATTCTGCTGCAGGAGAGAGAAAACTACTTCCAAATCCTTTAAATGCTGCTCCCGGGTTGTGCTATCGTAGAGGTACACGATGACACACTTATCCAGCAATGGCTGAAAAATCTCGTTCATGGTTAACTGGAATGTCGAAAGGAGCGTTTATTAAGCTAAATGGCATGACCTTGTACTCATACTGTAACTCCCGTACCAGATCCGAAACGTTGTCTTGTAGCAGTCAGCATCGTGCACACGAAGTTGGTGGTAACTGCCTCGCAGGTCAATCTTCGAGAAAAATCTGGCCCCGCGAAGTTGGTCGATGAGATAACGGCACGTGGAATGGGGTAGCGAGATTTGATGGTAACCCGATTCAAGGTGCGGTAGTCGATACACATACGTAGACCGCCATCTTTCTTCGAGGTGAACAGGATCGGAGCTGCAAATGGTGATGTGCTGGGGCAGACAAAACCTTTCTCGAGCAAGTAGTCCAGTTGGTGTCGAAGGTCATCTAACTCGGGCTGAGTCAGCCGCCATTGGGTCAGAACAGTAGGTTGCGCGCTAGGCTCGAGCTCGATTTTGTGGTCATGCGCCCGCTCATGTGGCAAGCCCGCCGGTAGGTCGTGCGGAAAAAAATCAGCGTGCTTCCAAATCACGCTTCCCAAATCATCCGAGACAGCTGCGCTGTGTTAATCGATGTCGGTCGGCGTGTCGACAGGCGTTGAGGCGATCCATTGGACAGCATACAGTTGCGGTCCTCGAATCATCGCGCGCTTGATAGTCACTGTGCTGACCGTCGATGTTGTCGAGTCTTGACTGCTCCGTTTGGGTAGTCGTTGCCACTCGCCACTCCACTTGATGCGACAATCGCCCGTCCGCCAGTCGATGCTCGGGTTGTATTCTCGCAGCCGATCGCGTCCCAGCAGCATGTCGCACCCGTCCAAAGTCGTCGCCAACATCTTCGTCGTGAAATTGAAGTTTTCGCCGCAGGTGACTCGCACGTGAGGCATGCACTCCCGAATCGCCAATGTGGTGCCGTCAACCAACATCGCGTCGATTTCGGGCATGCAGCGCTCTAGCTGCAATCGTAATTTTTTCGCTTTTGTCACATCCATCCGACTATGACTTGCTCTGCCATCAACAAATATTTTGATGCAGGTGTCGCCGACTCTTCCTTCAACCAGCACAGAGCGATCAACTGGTTCACCACCCCTGATTCAGCCAGGAATGGTCGATAGCCCAAATCGGCACTATAACATTGTGGGGGTGTTGGCGTTTGGGCGACGCAGTCAAGTCAGTAGGTGGCCCATCGGCTACTGACGATCTCCATTTCCCGACTGCTTCTTATCGTTAGCTACTGTAAGTTCTTCTTCAGCAGCGGGCAGTCCTTCACCATGTGGCCTGGTTGGTTGCAGTGGAAGCAGCATCCGAAAATAACCGGGTTGCAAACACGTCCACGCTGTTGATTGATGTGTGTTGGGGCTGGCCTCGAAAGCGATTTCCCTCTCGGAAACCCGCCCTCGCGAGTCCACGCCTTTCGTTCAGCGCATTCGCGATTTCGACAATCTCGTTGAATGTCGCCGGGGCTCGCATGGCGATCTCTTGCTGAATCTCTAGATTGAGACCACCCACGTAGTGATCGATTCGCTCGACTTCGCTAAGCCATCCAATTCGATCGCATAGCGCCAAGAACGAAGTCGTGTATTCTTGGACAGAGCCCAACTGTCTCCACATCCGAAGCCTTGTGCGAGCGTTTTCGCGTATGGATATGTGCTCGAATCGACAATGCTTTACCATACGCTTTTCACGTGCGGATCGTGCTCGACCCAAAGATTGGTTCTGCCTGAGCTGTTTATGAACCGTGCTTCCCATCTACCGCCTGTTGATTCCCTGTCGGGGCTCCTCCCTCGTCCAGATGCATGCGCCACAAGTCAAGTGCCGGTCCCCTTAGCAGCAACAGAGCCAAGTTGTCACGTGACGCGTTGTCATTAATACTTGCTGCTGTAAAGAAGATTTCCATGGCGAACAGCCAACCGCTCACTGTAGTCGTTCTGTCGGTCGGGTTGAACGGCGGTGGCATCGGAGGTTTGATTTTATTGGCCGCCCGCGGCTTTCTGCGGACTTCTTCAACTACTTCAGGTGTCGCCGACACCCTCGCTTCGTTCGCAGCATCTTCGTCTCGGGTAACAGGCCGCCCCTAACGCGTTTCACCCCGCGTCTGGCGAAGCGACGAGTTTTCATTGCACAGCGTCTGCACTTCGTTTCCCAACGTCTTGAACTTATCGGCGAGCTGTTGAAGCTGGGTTTGCAGTGTCGTCATTGTAGCCGCCCTGGCTTGCCACTCGTCAAACTCCTCCTGAGTCACGTTCCTAACACTACGACGGGCAAAGGTTTCCAGCGTAGTAGGCATGTTGAAAATTTTACCTGACAGATCTGAGGGTGCACACGCTTTTAGTTGGGGGAGCTTTAACGAGCTCACCTACCAACCGCATGCCAACCCCCTATTCTGTCGGGTCCTCTCCCGATATAAACGGACTACTCTACGGAAGACTAAGCGGACAAGAAAGGGGCTCTGATACCAGCTGTTATGAATTAATCAGAGTAATAACAGGTAGTGTAATAAAGGAGTCGTGATTCAAGAGTGTCGATACAAATGAGGGCCTAGGCATTTATAGGCACGAACAGAGCTAGCTGAGAACCACGCGAACAGGTTGGGGCGGTCCGGTTGGCGAAAGCTACGGAAGCGCTGCGCATCTAGGTCTAGGTACGGAAGCGCCGCGCAAAGTGGTTCGGGACCGAAGAAGTTGGCCGAGCCTGGACTTCCGAGAGTCGAGGGCGTATGCGCTGTAGTTGAGCCCAGTAAGGATGAGGGAATTTCCTTACAAAAAACTTATATCGACGTAACATTGCAGTTACCACACAAAGACCTTCTCAGGCATCAGGTCAGGGCTCAGGTGCCAAGAAACTGTCATCCCAGGGCACGGCAGGATTTGCGGCGACCAGGTGGGTTTGGACCTGCGGTCCATGTTGCCTTGAAATCTGCGCTGCGGAAACAGCAACAAAAGCTCCCCCCATACCGCGAACCAATGGCAGACGAGAACGGCCGACGTCTCCATGTTTCTATATCAGCGCAACCGTCCCGTACGGCAGCAAAAAGAGATGAGCCTGCAACATGGAGGCGCTGCCTCCCCCTAGATCATTTCGCGACTCGTCGCGCTTTCCGGGACACTTCAGGTATGGGAGAACGTCAGCTCATCTCGTCTCGACAGACACCGTACCGTACGCCCGACGATGACATACAGTTGGGACCACTACAGTGTTGCCGAAGCGGACAGGCGAGGAGGAATGAGTGCGCCGTGCGACGTGCACTGGTCGCCATTGTGTCGCATTTCTTCGCCTAGCTTTCTCGCCATGATCAGAAGTCAGCCAGCCGTTGATAAAACCATAGAATATTGAAACATTGTCGAAGTTGATTGGTTGGCCGTCCAAATTAACGCTTGTTTTCAACCGGTTGGCCTGCTTCTTCCTCTCCTCAACTCGCTTCCCCACTCAGATCAATTCTGGGCATATCTCTAGACCGCCGTCTGTACAGTAGTACACCACAGACTATCCCCTCTCCATGAATCCTGCATCTAGAACCAGTCGTCTGCTCTACACAACTGTACTTTCTCTAGCATCCACCTCCCCCTCGCATTCACGCACCTCCGAGCGCACAACCTCCAATAATTGTGGCACTCACCGCTCGCTGCTTGGATGCCCGGAGCAACCCCCAGAGAGAGCGTAGCTTGCTTCATGCTTTTAGCTCAGGCCTTCGAGATTCAGAAGAACGGACCACTTCAGAGAATATTCCATTTGTCGCCAGTAAGCCCTTGAACTAGCGTCCACCCCACTGGTCTGCTCGCCTCTAGTCGCTGTCCAATGCGCAAGACCTGTCGAAACGGGGTCGCCATCGATTAGGTTTTCAGCGCGCTGAACGAGCTAGTGCATCAAACTACAAATTACCCTAGCAGTTCAAGTTACTTCTTTTCCTGCTGTGATTTATAGTCATAGCGCGTTTAAGAAAGGAGCAGCTTGCTCGAAGCTTGGTTCGCTTGCGAGCGACCCGTCGCAAACTTTGAAGCGCGTAGGTGGTAACTCTGTAGGAAAACAATTAGAGGCAGCGCATTCGTTTCTGAGCTTCCGAAACAAACGACCGTCGGCGCAATGTGGACTTCCGCGCGTGTCTCCGCGCGTCTCAACGTGCTCCGCCTGTCATTCGTGCTCGTTGCCGCGACCTGCTTCCTCGCCGCGCCAGGTTCGTCGCCCTGCCAGGTTCGTCGCCCTGCCAGATTCGTCGCCCTGCCAGGTTCGTCGCCCTGCTAGGTTTGCCGCCGTGCCAGGCCTGAAAGCACCAGACTCACTGAGAGCACCTGCGTGCACCTAGCGGCCAGGTGTTCGGAGTCTGGATCTGCGTGTGTGTAGGAATCAGCGGAGGGCATCTCCTTTGAGATGCACGGATCCGACCGGCCCGGGAGCGAGCTCAAACCCGGCGACCTCCCCCTCCCCCTCATATCTTCCCTCTTCCCCCATCTTTCCCCCTCGGCCCCCACGGCCCCCCCACTCCCCCGTGCCCTCCTCCGCCTTCAAACTGCAGCGCGCGCGCAGGCGTTCAGGGCGAGACCATGGCGGAGCGGCGGAGGAAGCTGACAGGTGGAGCACCTCAACCGCTTCTTCCGGCGCTTCACCCCACGCTGGCTTACAGCCGTCAAACCGCAGCGCGCGCGCAGACTGGACAGAGCATTCTCCACGACTCAACCCTTTCCTTCCTGCTCCCCACTTCCCCTCCCCTCCTCCTCCCCTTGTTCCCCCCCTTTCCCCCCCCCCCTCCTCTCCCGCCATTCCCGCACTACCCTCCTCCCCCCACCATTGCAGCGCGCGCGCAGGCGTTCAAAGCGAGCTCGAACCCGGCACTGGCGGAGCGCCTCAACCGCTTCTTCCTCCCCCTCTTCCCCCCTTCCCCTTCCTCCTCCCCCCCTCCACTCTCATTCCCCCGTGCAGCGCGCGCACAGGCGTTCAGGGCGAGCTCGAACCCGGCGCTGGCGGAGCTGAAGCTGGAGCATCTGAACCGCTTCTTCCGGGGCCTCACGGTGGCTTATAACGAGTCGGAGGAGTGGTGGGAACCCGACATGTCCATCGACTGGCGCTGGGACGACCGGCTCAAGCCCGTGCTTGGGCTGCGCACGGAGGGAGCATGCAGTAAGTGATTCTCTTAACCAGGATACAAGCGTGCAGCCAGGCGGTGGCTTATAACGAGTCGGAAGAGTGGTGGGAGGCCGACATCTCCATCGACTGGCGCTGGGACGACCGGCTCAAGCCCGTGCTTGGGCTGCGCACGGAGGGAACATGCAGTAAGCGTGCTTCTCTTAGCGACACAGGCGGACAGGCTGGTCCAGCACCCGATGGTGGCTAATAACGAGTACAACGAAAACTGGGAGCCTGAAGAGGGGACGGCCGGCCCAACCCTGTGTCACCACTCACTGCGCACGCACGTAGGGTGGTTGCTTGCAGCAAGTGCTTTCCCTTCGCGACCTTGGACACCGCGTGGATACCGCTCGCGTAACACGCACCTTCTTCCTCACCCTTCTCCCGAACCCCGCTCCCCCCACACCTCTCTCCTCCTCCCAACCTGTCATCCTCTTCTAACATCCATCTCCCCCCCTTCCCCCTCCCCTCTTCCCTCCCTCTCCCCCTCTCCCCCTCTCCCCTCTCCCCCTCTCCCCCTTACCCCTCCCCTCTTCCCTCCCTCTCCCCCCACCCACCCCACTTCCAGAGTCCTCATGGGCGATAACGGCCGTGACGGCCGTGGAGATGGTGTACGCGATTGTAGCGTCCGCGTTTCCCTCTCTGCCGCCCGCCGCGCGCGTGTCGCTGCAGCAGGTGCTGGACTGCGAGCCCAGCAACAGCAGCTGCGGGGGCGGCGGCTGGCCCACGTCAGCGCTGGACTACATGGTGGACGCTACGCTGGCGAACGGGGGAGTGGCGACGGACGCTGCCTATCCGTACATTCAGAAGCAAGGGGCCTGCAATGCGACCAGGGTGAGAATGAGAACTGGCTCCGCAGCGGCAGGTGAGAGCTGGTCGGTGCTGGCTCTGCAGTGGCATGGCAACGGACGCCGCCTATCCGTACATTCAGAAGCAGGGGATTTGCAACGCGACCAGGGTAAGAACTGGCTCCGCAGTGTGGTACATTACGAGGGGGGGGTGGCCCACGTCAGCGCTGGACTACATGCATGCATGGTCAACGCCACGCTGGCGAACGGGGGCGTGGCGACGGACGCTGCCTATCCGTACATTCAGAAGCAAGGGACCTGCATCGCGACCAGGGTGAGCACTGGTTCTGGCGACGCATAAGGCTGTTGGGGTTATCAACTACTATGACTGTCACCCCATCTGCCCCTCTCGTCTCCCCCTCCCGTTCCCCCTGCAGGCGATGTTGGTGGGGCACTGGGATCGTCCTGCAGTTGAGTGTGGGAGGGCTACAGGTCCGTCCTGGGGGGTTATGGGTGTGCTACCCACCACAACAACATGCCCTTTTAACCCAGTTGGTAGCGGGCTGGGCCAACAGGCGAAGCAGCTGCTGAGGGGGAGCGCGCCCAAGGCCGTAGGGGTTATCGGGTAAGCCAAAGACCATCACCCCCATCTGCCTGCCCCTCTCGTCCCCCCTCCTCCCCCCTCTCTCGTTCTCCCTGCAGTCGGAGAAGCCGCTGAGGGACAGCGCGCCCAAGGCCGTCGGGGTCATCGGATACGACCACTCGCCCAGCTCACTCGCGCCGCCCACTGCTCCCCTCTGCTCTCTCTGCTCCCCACTGCTCTCTGGCTGGTGCCCCCTGCAGGCGAAGCAGCGGCTAAGGGGGAGCGCGGCCAAGGTCATAGGGGTCAACGGGTACGACCATCACCCCCATCTGCCTGCCCCTCTCGTTCCCCTGTCGTCCCCCCCCCCCCCACCCGTTGCCCGTGCAGGCGAAGAAGCTGCTGAAAGAAACGACGCCCAAGGCCATAGGCGTCATCGGATACGACCAGGTGGACTTCTACGGCTGGTTGGGGCTGGCGCTCGCCGTGCAGGTGAGGGGGGTGGGGCGGTAGGGTAGCAGTGCAGGTGAGGGGAGTAGGGTGGTAGCAGTGCAGGTGAGGGGAGAGAGCGGGTGGGAGGATGAGAGTTGGAGGTGTGGGAGAGGGTGTGACGTGAAAGGTGGGCTCCTATGGCTGGCTGGCTGGCTGCCTGTCTGGCTGGGGGTGGGGCTGGCACTGCAGGTGACGGGGCGAGATGGTGGGAGCAGTGCAGTTGAGGGGGCGAGAGGGTGGGAGTAGTGCAGGGGAGGGGCCGAGAGGGTGGGAGTAGTGCAGGTGAGGGGCCAAGAGGGTGGGAGTAGTGCAGGTGGGGGGGCGAGAGGGTGGGAGTAGTGCGTGCACTACAGGCTCGTCCTGAGAGGTGGGCACAAACCACTCCTCCATGCATCACCTCTCCTCCATGCATCACCACTCCTCCACGCATCACCACTCCTCCATGCATCACCACTACTCCATGCATCACCTGTTGCTCCATGCATCACCAATCCTCCATGCATCACCTCTCGCTCGTTACTATGATCTCCTTCGTCATCCTCCTTTTTCCCTTGCCTCTCTCCCCCCCTCTTCCCTGCCCCATGCAGACCCAGCCAACCATTGCCTTCGTGAGGGGCAGTCACGCCACGTTCCTCAGCTACCGCAAGGTGAGTCAACGCAGGTCAACGCGTTTCAACGCAGGTCAATGCAGGTCAACGCAGGCCATTACAACAGTCAACACAAGTCAGCGCAAGTCAACGTTTGCTGGAAGGCATGAGTTGGTGTCAGGCCATGTGGGTTGACACGAGTCAATGCAGTGCGGTGCAGTGCAGAGCAGATGTTCCTGGTCCCTCAGGGACATACTATGACCACAGCTGTACAGCAGCGGTGGTGCATCACGGTGTGGTGGATCTCGGTGTGGTGGGTGGATCACGGTGTGGTGGCGGTGGGCTTCGAGATGGTCAATTTTGACGTAGGACTCTTGCCCCCTGTGTGCTCTCCATGTCTCCTCCCTCTTTCCACCCTCAGGGCAGTACAACGACCGCAGCTGTGCAGCGGGTGTGGTGGACCACGGCGTGGTGGTGGTGGGGTACGAGATTGACAGCCAGCCAGGGCTTGCGCTGTGCTCACCCTATCCCTTCTCCCTCGATCTCTCCCTCTTGGTCTTTCCCCCCTGTCTCCCCTTAGGGCACATATAACGACCGCAGCTGTGCACGGGGCGTGGTGGACCACAGCGTGGTGGTGGTGGGGTATGGGATGGGCAGCCAGCCAGGGCATGCGTTGTGTTATGCTCAATCTATCCCGTCTCTCTCCCTTGGTCTCTTCCTACCTCCCGGTCTCCCTTCCCCTCAGGGCACTTACAACGACCGCAACTGTGCACAGGGGGTGGTGGACCACAGCGTGGTGGTGGTGGGGTACGAGATGGACAACTACGACACGCTGCCCTACTGGATCGTGCGCAACTCGTGGGGCGACAAGTGGGGGGAGAAGGTGAGAGGAGCATGTGCTGCCGTGGATGTGCTGACGTGGATGTGCTTGTTTGTCGATCATGGGATGGGAAAAGAGAATGCCGAGGCCGTGTTCTCTTGAAGAGCGGCAAACGAGCGGGTGTAGTGGAGGGCGCGGGTACCTTTGAGTTTTGAGGTGACGGAGTCCGCATGTCATTCTGGTGCCTTTTGAGCCGAATCAAGAGTCACCTTGTTCTCATGGTGTGCTGGAAACGTTGGGCGCAGTACCACTCGTGGCACTCTCATCATCCCATTATCTTCACCCCTCATCGTTTCGTTACCCCTCTCCTCTCCTCCCCGCATCAGGGCTACATGCGGACTCACTACCCCTTCTCTTCCTCCCCTCTGCCATCCCCTCCCCCTCTCCCCCTCATCAGGGCTACATGCATATGGCGATGGTAGGGGGGAGGCATTTGAAGGGCTGACAGGGGGTTAACAACCAGCCATCCACCCCCCCTTCCCCTTCCTTCTCCCCCTCATCAGGACTACATGCGTATGGCTGGCGATGGTGGAGGGTATCGGCATCTGAAGGGTTAACAGGGAGTTAACAGCCAGCCACCCATTCCCCCTTCCGCTTCCCCCCTTCCCCTTCCCTCTCCCCCTCATCAGGGCTACATGCGTATGGCGATGGTGGGGGGTATTGGCATCTGTGGCATCCACACTGTGCCGGCGATCTACCCCGTCATCAAGAGTAAGATAAGAATCAGATTCTGGTTTACGTAGTCAGGGGGAGAGTGGGACTCACTCGTTTGCCTACTCACACACTCACACACACACACACGCACACACGCACACACACTCACACGCACACACACTCGCACACACACACACACACACACACACTCACACACACACACACACACTCACACACACACACTCACACACACACTCACACACACACCTCACACACACACACACACCACACACACACACACACACTCACATTCACACTCACACACACACACTCACACACACACACTCACACTCACACACACACACACACACTCTCTCTCTCTCTCTCCCTCTCTCTCTCTCTCACACACACACACACACTCACACACACACACACACACACACACACACACACACACACACACACACACACACACACACACACAGATCTCAAGCGGCACCCGACGGTGCATGCTCTTTGTCGGACAAGTCTTTCTTCAGAAACTGCCATCCTTCCCTTCCTCGCCACACTCGTTTGCCTCTCCAGTGATCTCTCACATGTCCCTCCCACCCTCTACTCCCTTTCTCTTCCTCCCACCCTCGCCCTGTCTCCTTCCCTCCAGCCCGCCCCTGGAACGATCAGATCAGCCCATGCATATGCGTGAGGCGATTGTGAAGCCAACACCGACGACCCCTCTGCAACAATGCCTCTTACCCCTCTACAATATCTCGTACCCCTCTACAATGTCTCGTACCCCTCTACAAAGTCTCGTACCCCTCTACAAAGTCTCGTACCCCTCTACAATGTCTCGTACCCCTCTACAATGTCTCATACCCCTCTACAATGCCTCGTACCCCTCTACAATGCCTCATACCCCTCTACAATGTCTCATACCCCTTTTCCCCTTCCCTGCCCTTCTGTGTGTACCCCGCTCCAGCCCCTTCCCCCTGCAACGACCAGATCAACCCATGTGGGTGGGCCGACTGCGGCCCCAACACTGACGACCCCTCTGCAATATTCTGTCCCTTTCTCCTCTCCCCGCTTCTGCTCCCTCCCCCCACCTCTCCCCCCCCCCTTCTCCCCCCCCCTCTCCCCCCCCACTTCCCCCCGCTGCAGCCCCCTCGCCCTGTAAGGATGAGATAAACCGGTGCGCGTGGGGGCGACTGCGAGGCCAACACTGACGGACCCCTCGGGCCCGCCCACAATGCTTCATACCCCATCTCCTCCCGTTCCTTTCCTATTCCCCCCCCCTCCCCTACGCCTCCCCACCTCCAGCCCCCTCCCCCTGCAACGACCAGATCAATCCATGCGGGTGGGGCGACTGTGAGGCCAACCCTGACGGCCCCTCTCCGCCCTACGTATGCTCCTGTGCCGATGGCTTCGTGCCGGTCATAAACGACGATGGCACGCCCACCTGCGCCATTGGTGAGCCTGTGAATTCGTCCACTCTATCTCTGTCTCTCCAAGGCACTCTGATCTGACCCCTCTGGCCCGCCCTATGTGTGCACCTGTGCTGATGGCTTCATGCCACCTGTTGACAACGTCGGCACCCTGACCTGCGCCATTGGTGCATCCCTTGGGTACTGTCTACCATCCTTGGAAGCAAGTCTTGGACCTGGAACCATCCTATCTGTGCTCCTGTGCTGCTGGTGCGCTGTGTTCTTGCTGCTGCGTGCTGCCGCGTGTGCACTGCTTCACTCCTCCCCACCCTTCTCTCCCCACCCCAGATGACGTGTGCTTGCAGTTCCAGGCGGCAACCCTGTGGTTTGGGCTCGCGCATGAGTGGCTCACTTACACGCCCACACCTGCTTCCTCTTCTTCCCCCTCCTCCCCCCCCACCCTTCTCTCCCCAGATGACGTGTGCTCGCAGTTCGAGGGAGGCAACCCCTGCGGCGTGGGGTCGTGCTTGAGCGACGAGGCAGGGGGTTACCTCTGCCTGTGCCCTCCGGGCTTCAAGCGCGGGCTGCGGGCCAAAGGCTCTGAGATATGCGTGCCGAGTGAGTGACTCGCATGTGATCAAGAGCGGGGATAAGAATAGGGCGTGCAAGGGCGTGTTAGGGTGTGCTTGGGCTCGCCTGTTCTGACCAACCATCCACCATGAGCTGCCTGATGCATGTGGACTGCCCGATGCATGTGGACTGCCTGATGCTTGTGGACTGCCTGATGCATGTGGACTGCCTGATGCATGTGGACTGCCTGATGCATGTGGACTGCCTGATGCATGTGGACTGCCTGATGCATGTGGACTGCCCGATGCATGTGGACTGCCCGATGCATGTGGACTGCCCGATGCATGTGGACTGCCCGATGCATGTGGACTGCCTGATGCATGTGGACTGCCTGATGCATGTGGACTGCCTGATGCATGTGGACTGCCGGATGCATGTGGACTGCCTGATGCATGTGGACTGCCTGATGCATGTGGACTGCCTGATGCATGTGGACTGCCTGATGCATGTGGACTGCCTGATGCATGTGGACTGCCTGATGCATGTGGACTGCCTGATGCATGTGGACTGCCTGATGCATGTGGACTGCCTGATGCATGTGGACTGCCGGATGCATGTGGACTGCCTGATGCATGTGGACTGCCTGATGCATGCGGACTGCCCGATGCATGTGGAGTGCCGGATGCATGTGGACTGCCCGATGCATGTGGACTGCCCGATGCATGTGGACTGCCCGATGCATGTGGACTGCCCGATGCATGTGGACTGCCGGATGCATGTGGACTGCCCGATGCATGTGGACTGCCCGATGCATGTGGACTGCCCGATGCATGTGGACTGCCCGATGCATGTGGACTGCCCGATGCATGTGGACTGCAAGCCCATGGGCCAGATGCCCTCACTCACGCTCTTTCTTGAGGTGCCTCAATAATCGACCCGTGTACCAGATGCCCTGACCCCCTCCACTCCCTTCACTCCTGCCCCCTCGCCGTTCCCCACTCCGTCCGCCTCTCTCACTCAGCTGCTGAGTGCCCCTCCAACATCTCATACCCAACACACGTTCACTGCGAGCTCGTGCACTCATCGCCCCTCAGTTCCCTCCCTCCCTGCCGTGCTTGCCACTTCCTTTTTGCCCCCTGCAGCCGCCGACCGCACCTCCAACATGAGCCAACCCATGCACGTGGACTGCGAGTTGGTGCACCAGATGCCTCTTCCTTCCTTTGTGCCTCTACGTCTCTCCCCATTTCCTCTCATTGCAGCCGCCGACCGCCCGTCCAACATCTCGTACCCCATGGACGTGGACTGCGAGCTCGTGTACCAGATCTACGGGCTCAGTGAGGAGAAGTTCCTTGCGCAGAATCCCGACCTGGTGAGCGGCACAGAGCTGTATTTGGTGTGTGGTCCTAGTCCTGGTCCTGGTCTTATTCCTGGTCCTAGTCCTGGTCCTGGTCCTGGTCCTGGTCCTGGTCCCGGTCCCGGTCCTAGTCCTGGTCCCAGTCCTGGTCCGGGTCCTGGTCCTGGTCCTGGTCCTGGTCCTGGTCCCGGTCCGAGTCGTGGTCCTAGTCCTGGTCCCGGTCCCGGTCCTAGTCCTCGTCCTCGTCCTCGTCCTGGTCCCGGTCCCAGTCCCGGTCCCGGTCCCGGTCCCAGTCCTGGTCCTGGTCCTGGTCCTGGTCCTGGTGATGCACAAACACGCATGTGCTGCACAGTGCGTGCAGCGTGCTGCACTGCTGCCCACTCAGAAGCTCATGCACCAGATCGACGGGCTCGGGGAGGGGAATTTCCTAGGGAAGAAACCCAACCTCGTGAGTGCCACAGGGCAACACATGGTGCATGGCACACGTGAATGCGCCACATGGTGCATGGCACACGTGAATGCGCCACATGGTGCATGGCACACGTGAATGCGCCACATGGTGCATGGCACACGCGGTGCGCGCTGTGTGGTAAGTGCTGCGTGGCGAGTGCTGCGTGGTGCGCGCTGCGTGGTGAGTGCTGCGTGCTGCGTGTTGCGTGCTGCGCGCTGCGTACTGACCACTCAGAGCCTCGTGCATCGGATCTACGGGCTCGAGCAGGACTCCTGGCGCGGAACCCCGACCTGGTGAGTGTTGCCGGCTCTCTCTCTGGTGGCTGGTGCCCACTCAGGTTGTCCCCACATCCTGTCATCTCCTCTTGTCGACTCCTCTTGCCTTCTCCTTCGTCGTCTCTCACCTTTCGTTCTCTCCTGCCTTCCCCCCCCAACCTTTTTTTCTAGGAGAACAACGAGGGGTGGTGCGACATGGTGCCGGCCAACACAGTCGTCAACGTCACTCTGCCGCCCTCTGCCATCATCTGCGGCCTCTTCTACTCCTGGTCCGCTGTGAGTCTTCTCTCCTGGTCCGCTGTGAGTCTTCTCTCCTGGTCCGCTGTGAGTCTTCTCTCCTGGTCCGCTGTGAGTCTTCTCTCCTGGTCCGCTGTGAGTCTTCTCTCCTGGTCCGCTGTGAGTCTTCTCTCCTGGTCCGCTGTCGTGCTCTCCTCCTCCGCCTGCTGCTCTCCTCGCTGCTGCAATGTGAGTCGTCACTCCAGGAGGGCCTTTGAGAGGAGGGCCTTTGAGAGGAGGGCCTCATCTCCTCACCTACGAGGGAATATGGGCGTATGGCGCCACATAGGTCCTCATCTCCTCTCTCTTGTTGCTATCCTCAACGTCCCTCTGCCCTCCTCTACTGTCGTCTGCGGCCTCTTCTGCTCCTGGCCCTCCGTGAGTCTCCCTCCTGCTGATCGCCTCCTCTCTTGATGTCTCATGCACTCTCACATTTCCTCACTCCCTCCCTCCATCCGCAAACTGGCATCTCTCTCTCTCTCACTCCCATTCCTCCATCAAATCCCCACCTGTGATCCTGGTGCGCTCTCCTCCCGTTGCCCCTCACCCCTCCCTTCCCCCCCCACCCCACCCCTTGCCCCCCTCCGCCAATCACAGAACGACACATGTGCAGCAGTAGCGGATGGCTTTGACCTCACAGTGGCCGAGCTGCAAAGGCTCAACCCGGGCGTGCGGTGCTCCGGGAAGATCAGGCTCCCCACACCTAACCAGCAGGTATGGTCCATGGATGCCACGCATGTTGGGATACGTAGCAGGTTCGGACAGCTAGCAGGATCGGACAGCTAGCAGGATCGGACAGCTAGCAGGATCGGACAGCTAGCAGGATCGGACAGCTAGCAGGATCGGACAGCTGGCAGGATCGGACAGCTGGCAGGTGATTCGATTTCCTTTCCTGACAACGCCAGAGTGCCTCGATTGGAAAGCCTCAACCTGGGCGTGCGGTGCTACACTTAACCAGCAAGTATTGACAGCCACACCTAACCAGCAGGTTCAGTAGTCCCATTTGATGCTCATCTCACTCGTCCCTCCCATGTTTCTCACTCGTCCTTCCCATGTTTCTCACTCGTCCTTCCCATGTTCTCCAATACATATTTCTCAGATCTGCGTGCACGAAGGCAACGGCGCTGACCTGCCCATGTGCACACAGTTCTACATGCTACAGCTGGGCGACCCCCATCCCTCCCATATCTTCCCCATCCCTCCCATATCTTCCCCATCCCTCCCATATCTTCCCCATCCCTCCCATATCTTCCCCATCCCTCCCATATCTTCCCCATCCCTCCCATATCTTCCCCATCCCTCCCATATCTTTCCTACCTTTCCCATACATTTCCCATCGTTCCCATCCTTCCCATAACTTTCTTACCTTCCATCTGTCCCACGTGTTTCCCATCCCAATGTCTCAGGTGTGCGTGCAAGAGGGCAACGGCGCGGACATCCCGGTGTGCACGCTGTTCTACACAGTGGCGCTGGGCGGTGACAGCAAGAAGGCCATGGGGCGGGGAACACCCACGCCTTCTCCCCCATCTCAGCCATACCTCCCCTGCCCACCCCTACCCACCAGGTGTGCGTGCAAGAGGGCAACGGGGCCGACATGCCAGTGTACACGCACTTCTACGCGGTAGCACCGGGGGACGACTGCGACAAGGTCATGGCACCATTCAAGCAGCACCTCTGCTTATACCCTCTAGTCTCCTGCTCTTGCTGATCAACATGACCATTTCAGGTGTGCGTGCAAGAGGGCAACGGTGCGGACATGCCTGTGTGTACGCTGTTCTACACAGTGGCACCGGGGGACGACTGCGACAAGGTCATGGCGCGCTTCAAGCTCTCCGCGATCTCCTTCTACACGCTCAACCCGGGCCTCAGCTGCGCGTCGCTCTTCCCCTACCTGAGTGGGCCGGACGATTCTACGGCCGACCAAGAGGGAGGACCCTCCCTTAGTGGCACTCAGGTAATGAGTCCATTGGGCTTAGTGCTTCAAGCTCTCCACCCTCTCCTTCGACTGATCAACTCGGGCCGCAGCTGCCCGTCACTCTTCCCCTACCTGAGTGGGCCGGACGACTCTACGGCCGACTAAGAGGGAGGACCCTCGGCACTCAGGTAAAGAGTCCAATGGGCTTAGCGCTTCAAGCTATCCGCGCTCTCCTTCTACACCCTCAACCTGGGCCTCAGCTGCGCGTCGCTCTTCCCCTACCTGAGTGGGCCAGACGATTCAACGGCCGATCAGTAGGGCGGACCCTCTCTTAGTGGCACTCAGGTAAACCATGCCTTGGGCTTCTAAGTCAGTTGTGATGCATGCATGTGCCGGGCTTAAGGTGCATGCATGCCTTAAGTTCTCCCCCCTCTACTGGCCCACCCCGGGCCTCAGCTGCGCTACGCTGCCCTTAAAAAGCGGTGGAACAACGAGCATGAGGGAATGGGAAGGGCCACAAGGGAAGGGCCACACTTAGTAGCACTCCTTATTGCTGGCTTCCCGTTTCTCTCCCCCCCCTTCCCTCCTTTCACCCCAGGTGTGCGTCTCTGGCTACACAGTGAACGCCACTGGCCCGGCTCCTGCGCGCTCCCTCAGGAGTCTGAACCCCCAGGTGGCCATGCAGGGCAGGCCTGAGAGCCCCAATGGAGCATGGCTGCGCGGGGACAGGTGGGGCAGCAATGATGATGCTGATCCTGACCCTGTGATGCCTGTGGCTGTGAACCGGCGCTGGCAGAGCTGGCAGCAGCAGCAGCAGCCACAGCAGCAGCAGCAGTCGTGGCAGCAGTGGATGCACGAGTTCTTGACTCAGATAGCAGCCTCGGGGCCAGGCAGGAGCAACCACCATGGCAGCCAACAGATGGCGTCTATGATCCTCCACAAGAGGCTCCTCCATAAGAGGCTTCTAGTAGCGAAGCAGCGCACCAAGCCTAAGTGCAAGGCGTATTACTATGTGCAACGGGGGGACTTCTGTGCGCGGATTATTGCGCTCAAGTTCCAGAATAGTGCACGGAAGATGTCGGATTTGAACAGTGGCTATGTGTGCAACAATGATAGGCTTTATGTGGGAATGGGGCTGTGCACACAGAGGTAAGGGTACTAGAAGATTGGTGATGTTAACATCCTGGTTTTATGGAATTGCAGTGCAGTGCAGTATGTAAATGTGTAATTATGTTGTGTTGCATGACTCCCCAGCAAATTGAGCTGAATAAATGACTCGGCGAAAGTCGCAAATTGGAACCCTGTCACCAGAAACGAGCGGAGTTTACGCCATACCAGGGGGTGCGAACGGGTGTGGCTCTAGGCTCATGGTGTCGAAGCTCGTGATTCTTCGTGAAGCGTCTGAATGTTCGTTCGGACGCTGGAACCTTGGAGAAATACGTTGACCACGTTGGGGGTGTTTCATGTGCAAGACGGTATAGTGCGTTTTGTTAAGATGCAGAAGGTTCCGCTTCGGTGCGTTCAGAACTTTCGGAGGCGGTCTCTCCAGTGGTACAGATTTGTCCTCGAAAAAGTTATGTACTGTACAGTTGAGCCGACCCAGATACGACAGAACCAAGCCATGTCACTCTCTTCCCCAGCAACGCCCTCCAGCCTGGTCCCGCGTCCCGCGTCCCCAAGCCAAGCCAAACCAAAACGCCCTCTCTCCCCGCCTTCGAACCACTCCCTGCGCGTTGCGTGGTAAATGGGTTGCGCTTTGCCTCGAAACCGCAACTTGGGCTGCGCAACTGGGGAAAGAACCAACCGAATCCAACCAAAATCAGCTTAAAGCGAGGGTCTCAAGAAGCAGAAAACCAAATCCAAAGGTTTTGGTTTTGGGCTGACGAACTTTGCGAAACAGTTACAGCGCCCAACCAGCACCCCTTACCACACCTCGCGATTTTCGAGACCCCCCGAAACCAAAACCTTAGGGTTTGGTTTTTTGCTTCTTGAGACCCTCGCTTTAAACCATCTTTCACTCACCATGCTAGGTTCGGCGAGTCCGGTAACCAGACAGGGCCGCGCAGCTTCGATGGGTTGCGCATCCTGTATACCATGCACTGAGTTCGTTCCCTCCCCCGACCCCGCCGATTGGTAGAGCGCCCACTGATCATGTTTTCTCCAGGGGTTGGGGGCAGGCCTCTGGAAGTCAGGGTAATTACACTGCTTGATCAAGGAAAACAGTGAAATTTTAACCTAGCCCTGCCTTTGACGCATTCAGAATATCGATACCCGTCCATGGACAGGCAAGCCAGAATTATCCCACGGCCAATTTCCGAGTACGGGATAGACCCGCCATGTAAAATCTAGTGTCAATGTTCGGGCCCCTAGTAAAAATCTCTCCCCTTGTCATTGTCAGGTGTAGCTGAGGGCTTGTTCAGTGCGTTCGTTTACTATTCACTTGGCATATCAGGTACAAAATTTTGACCTGGTAACTCGAAATTTCGAGTCCATTCGGACACGCACGATAAATTGACAGTTTTGGCGGACACCCTCCAAACGTGCCCACAGACGTGGGCCACACGTTTCCGAACCGAACGAAAATCGTGCACAAATTATGTACACGGCAGAAACGTCCAAAACCTGGCTGGCGAAAAATAGAACGCTTACATTCACCAGGCTTTCGTGACGCTTGCGAAGCACGGCGAAATTGAGCCCTCCATTTTTCTCCCCCTGGGTGAAGTAGCGGCTCGTAATGCGTGTTCGCGAAAGCGGGCGGGGCCACTTTTTTCGGGGCGAAATTCGGTTACCCTGCTGTTTTCGCGTGTCAGTCTGTTATGTGCGCGCTGCGCACCTGCTCATTTGTCGAGCCACGGGAGGGGCTCGTGTCCGCGCGTTTTGCCGTGGGAATGGGGACCTGGTTTCCTCCTGGGATATCCTTAAAGCTCAAACTTTTTAGGGCTACCCAGCCTGGACGAGTTGGATCCCGGGCAAACTCGGAAACTGCAGGGTGACCTCTAGGATATCGAGAGGCCTGGTTGTTGGGGGGGTGGGTGAGGAGTGGGTGGGGGGACCTTCAGCACAAAGCGAGCTCTGTGGGGCGAACTACAGACAAACGTGACGTGAACGTTGACCGCAGCGCCACCAATGGGGTTCCACCATTCCCCCAGTCTTCCCCTCCCTCCCTCCCTCAGTCCATCCAAAAAAAGAAAAAGCAAAAAGAAATCCCTCAGTCCACCGACCAGCCTTGTAGTGTACTGTTCTGTACAGCTCTGTACTGTAGTGGTTACTGTCCCGTCAAAATTTGACTGTTTTCCACCGTGCCTTCCGTTTTGACGATAAACGTCAACTTCCCGTGTAAGCGGGTCGTCCTTGACCTTGAGCCAAGCAAGGCAACTCCTGCCGCCGTCCTTAGCAGATTTAGGCCTGCTTATGGACGAACAGCCGAAATTAGTTTGTTCGCGGTACAACTTGTACGAGTATTTGAAATAATTAGTGTTCCACTGGACGAGTAGTGTAAACGCGACGTTAGTGTGGCGACAGTATTCACCTTGTCGTCGTCTAACGGACTTCCGTTTCGCAGGCTGTCGTCGCGCGATGCTGCCTACTAGATTCCGCGACGGTCGCCAGCGGTCGTCGCCGTCGCTCTGCGATGTCGCATCGTCTCCGAGACGCCGTCATGCCATTTTCTTGTCGCTTCTCCTCGTCGCGAGCAGCCTGACGATTGTGTCAGGTTAGTCGCCGGCTTAGTATCCTTCCCTTCTGCTGTCGCATGGTCGTTCCCCCGATTCTGAGCCCCACCTTTCCCAATCCATAACTGCCTTTACGCATTGCCTAAGCGTCCGTGGAATCCTTTCTATTTCAGCCAAGTTGGCTGGCTCCAGTCAAGGCATCAGCTGCACGAGTAGCCGCTAGTCCCTCTCCGTCCCTCTTAACCGCGTGGCGCGGATGCGCGAGCACGGGCCATGGCGACAGCTGCCAGTGCTCTTGACGCATCTCAAGACCTGCTGCCTCACCTCCCATCATCCCCTCGCGTTTCCTCCCCTCTCCCCCCCCCCACCCCCCCATCCCGTCCAGTATCTCCCCACCTCGTCCCGTTTCCTTCCCCCTCCCCTCCCCCTCCCCCTCCCCCCCACCCCCCCCATCCCGTCCCTTCCATCCCCCTCTCCCCAGCTGCGGGAGCTCCGTCCCCGGGCGGGCCTTACAAGAACCCAAGAACTTGAACCGCGTCTCGCGCCACGTGGGGCATGGCGAGAGCCCGCTATTCCCGTCCTCCCTCCTCCCATCTCTCCCCCCTCCCTCCCCCCCTCACCCCCGCCCCCTTCCCCCCCTCCCCTCCCTCCGCTGCCTACAGCTGCAGCTCGGTCCCCAGGCTGGCATTGCTAGAGCCGAGTTACTTGAACCGCGTCTCGCGCTGCGTGAGCATGGAGTATGACGAGAGCTGCGGGTGATTCTGAGGCGCCTCATCACTCTCTCCCTCCCCTCCCCCCATCCCCCTGTCACCCCCCCTCCCCTCCTCCCCGCCCCCCTTCCCCAGCCTACAGCTGCAGCTCAGTCCCGGGGCTGGCATTGCTAGAGCCGAAGTACTTGAACCGCGTGTCGCGCTACGTGAGCATGGGGCACGACGAGAGCTGCGGGTGCTGGCACGTCTTTGTCGACGTGGACTGGCGCGACCTGGACGGCGTCAAGGGCGTGCGCAGCGAGGGGGCGTGCAGTAAGTGGGATGCACGGGCGCATGGGTGCATGTGCGCATGGGCGCATGGGTGCATGTGCGCATGGGCGCATGGGTCTGCTGGGTGCATTGTGTGGCTGTGGATCAATGCTGGCACGTGCTGGTCGACGTGGACTGGCGCGACCTGGACGGCGTCAAGGGCGTGCGCACTGAGAGGGCGTGCAGTAAGTGGCGTGTGTGGGCGCATGGGCGCATGGGTGCATGGGGGCATGGGTGCATGCATGGGTGCACGGGCGCATGGGTGCAATTTGTGGCGGCAGAAGAGTACTGATGGCACGTGATGGTCGACGTGGACTGGCGGGACCTGGAAGGGGTCAAGAGCGTGCGCAGCGAGGGAGAAATGCAGTAAGTAACATGTGTGTTTGTAGCATGCAGCGAGGGAGATGTATGGTGTGCCAGTGCATTTTATCTGGTTTGGAGGCATGGCACGTGCATGCATGGCATGAGGATGCATGGCACGTGGATGCATGGCATGAGGATGCATGGCACGTGGATGCATGGCACGTGGAGGCATGGCACGTGGATGCATGGCATGAGGATGCATGGTGGGCTGTCACAGTAGTGAACGCAGTGTGATGTTTGCAGGTGCTTCGTAGCACAGTTCCGCTTCTCCCTGCTTCTCTACTCACTCCTCCCCCACTCTCTCCTCCCCTTCCCAGGCGCCTCAAAAGTCAACTCTCTCCTCCCCTTCCCAGAGTCACCGTGGGCCATCGCAGCAGTGAATGCAGTGGGACGATTTGAGTCGCCTTATGTCACTTCCCTCCTCTTCCCTTCTCTCGCACTCCCCTCCTCTTCACTTGTCCGCCAAACCCCCCTCCCCAGAGTCATCGTGGGCCATCACAGCAGTGAATGCAGTGGAAGCCACATTTGCTATAGTCACAAGCGCTATAGGGTCCAACGACACTATCTTTAACATCTCAGTGCAACAGGTGCGTGCACGACATCCCGACTCCATTTAATGATACACATCATCATACGCGTATCGTGAAAAAAAATGCATTGTTATTGTTGTCAATGAGCAGCCAGTGTGATTGTCCATTCTTCACTGCATTAGCAAGCCCCCATCATCGTCGCCGTCCCCATTATGGCCACAAACTCCCTCCCTCCACCCTCAACCCTCCATCCTCCATCCTCCACCCTCTATCCTCCATCCTCCATGCTCCGTCCGTCCTTCCTTCTTCCGGTGGTTGACTGCGAGTCCAGGAACAGCAGTTGCATGGCACGCGTGTGGGCCACGTCATCCCTGGATTACATCGTTGCCGCGCTCTCCACCCACCAACCCACACCCCTCCCCCCTCTCTTTCCCCCTCCCTACTGCTTCAGGTGGTTGACTGCGAGCCCAGCAGCAGCAGCTGCAAGGGCGGGTGGCCCACATCAGCCTTGGACTACATGGTTGACGCCTCCCAGGACCAAGGCGGGCTCGTCCCGGAGCAAGCCTACCCCTATAAGGGCAAGCAAGCCAAGTGCAGTGGGGACAAGGTGAGGGCAAGCAAGCCAAGTGCAGTGGGCATAAGGTGAGGGCAAGCAAGCCAAGTGCAGCGGGAACAAGGTGAGGGCAAGCAAGCCAAGTGTGTT